CTTTCTTTCTTTCTTTCTTTCTTTCTTTCTTTCCTCCTTCCTTCCTTCCTTTGGGTTCACCTGGAATTTGCTATCCTCCTTCCTCAACTTCCTGAGTTGCTGGGATTGCAGGTGTGTACCACTGCACCCCACTTGTAGTATACGTTTTTATTTTGGAACCACACCCCGACCTCCAAAGCTCTCCCCTCATCTACCCACCCATCACACCACTACCACTCTTGGGACTCTCTGCCACTGTAAAACTACACAAGAGAGACTAAAAATAAGTCAAAAATGGTGGGGGGAGATTTGGTGAAAGAATATGAAATGTTTTGAATGGAGAGAGGGATTGAGGACTGAAAGCAAAGGCAGGGTTAATACATTAAAGAGCAAAAAGGAAAGCAAACCTCTGTCTTCTAGCCCTGCATATCTCCTTGATCCCTGATCTCCTGGAGATGTTCCCCAAATGTAGATTTTGCTGTAATAGGTTTAGAGTGGCACCTGAGATTCTGCAATTCTAATAAACTTCCAAGTGATAATTCTGGTCCAAGAACCACACTTGTAGAAAGGATCAGTCTACCCTTGACCTTCAACATTGGGAAAATTTGCAGCCAGAAGGGAATGTCTAAACTATGCATGGTCTGTGTCCACTTCACATCCTTAAAGACTTCCAACTGGGCAGCAGGAATATTTTGCTCAATTGTGCCCAAACCTTTTAAAACACTCAGCTCAGATACCACATCCGAAAACTTCCATAAAGAGGAGAAACTGGCAGAAGGTCCATTTTTTTTTTTTTTTTAAACCAGGAGAGCCTGGCCTGTAAGATGGACCCATGGAAGGAGAAACAATCTTAACGTCTTGGTACAGGTTGAATACCCTAACAAACATAAAAACCCCAAATCTAAAGTGCTCTGAATCTGAATCTTTCTTAGCTTTATGTCAGCATTCAAAAAGTTTGAAATTTTAAGAGCATTCCAGATTTCAGATTTTCAGATTAGGGATGACTTGTTAAGTCTATGCAATATTCCCAAATTCTCAAAACTCCAGAATGCAAACTATTTCTGGTCTCAAGTGTTCTGGATAAGTGATACTCAATCTGTATAGCATCCAAGACAGAGGTTTCTAAACAGTTGAAAACAGATCAGTTGACAAGCTGGTTTTAAATACACATCTGGGACCCCATCCCACCCACTGAGTCCAACTGCCTACAGGTGGGCCCAATAATACCCATTAAAAAGATTCTTCCCCACACTGAGCCACTCCTATAAAGGGAGCTCCACTTAGCTCCAAATGTTGGCCTGGAGAATCAACTACACTGTGCAGGAGATAGTGGGCTGGCTCTGAATTCAGTCTTTTCTCCTTTTTTACTGGAACTTGAGGATTCTCATTAGGTTTTGTGCTGTCTTTAGAAAAAGGCCCCTGCTATCTGCCCAACATCATCTGACAGTCGCTGATGGATGTGTTGAGAGGTATCCATACAGAAGTAGAAAGGCAGTATAACCAGAAGTCTATTTTGAAGAAATGCAAATGCTACCCTGATGAGCAGGGTGAGAACTTTGAGACAGATTAACCGCCCCAAGTCTAAGCTTATACCAAATGCAGTTTGAATACTAAATACATTTTCTAGGGAAGAGAAAGTTGAGATTCACAGCTTTTGAATCTACTTTTCAGGCGTCTTAGGAGAAATCAGATGATCCTGGCCAATACCCTATTCCAGTGTGTTTGTTATCATCCTGAAGAATTCCAGATCATCACCAGTGGGACAGATAGAAAGGTAAGCACAGTTGGCCTTCTGTTTCTGTGGGTTTTAGGCCCACAGATCAGATCCACTGTGTATCAAAAATACTTTGAAAAAAAAA